CTAGCTACACATCGATTTTGATTTAGACAAAATTGAGAAGTGCTCTGCTAGCAAATCTACAACTGATGATGATACAGAACAGAGTCACAGCTTTGAATGCAAGTATCATATTAGCGATCCTAACAATGACACATTCATTATACTGGAGGTAGGTTTTCTTTATTGGCTCCTTGAAGATCTCATTTGTTGACAAAATTCTAGATAACTTCTCTTCCAAGGAAAGGTAGTACAGTGGTCATTGTTTCCTACAATGCCTCACGTTACATCCTTGAAGTTACTTGTGAACAAGAAATTCTAGTAATACCGTCGAATTCTGTGGATGTTGTGGTAAAATCTTTGCAAGCTAAAAATGCCGAAATTCTTCTTTGCGTACAGTACCTACATAAGGGTAAGCTGACTAAAAATTTTCAAAACTTACTTTTCTTAATTTTACCTAAAAATTATTTTCTTCGATTACAGACTCACAAGAAATTGCGCTCAGATCCAATGCTTTCACTATTAAATGGCTTCCATCAATGGAAGAAAAGAAAATCAGCAACATGTTCCACTCATTAAAATTCGTTGTTGACAATGTGCATATGGGAAGAACTAACTCTAGCACCCTCTTGTTTGAAGGACTGAATAAAACCGAAGACTCATTATCGGTAATTGTTTAATCATAAAATTACTTATTTAAGAATTTCTCGATTAGTATTTTTCAGGTCAATAGAGACGGCCTTCTCAAAAAAATTAATTCGCCTGTTACCTATAGAATTGAAGATTCATTCAAAGAGCTGCAAATAGAAGTTACTCAGAAGAGTGCAAACTTTTCAATGGCCATACGATACTCTCAAGGTTTTCAAAGCCTTCCGTTTCTGGTGCTACCAGAAATTTTGATTTTCTATAATTTATTGATCCTCTAGACTGTCCAGAATTTCTGCTGCCAAGAGGTGTGAATTGCTCATCATTGAGAAAATATAATCAATTTGGAAGTTCGGTTCACTTTACATGTGCCCAAGGTTCAAAACTTTATGGTGCAGATCATGCCAAGTGTTTGATGGGAGGAGAATGGTCTTCGAACCCTCCAACCTGTTTAAGTGATTGATTTCATTTTTTTCTCTTCCTATCTTCTCTCTGTTTCTCTTCTGAGGTCTCGTTTAGAAACTCCACCAAAATTCTGCGCACTTCCAATAATTGAATCTGGCTATGTGAATAATGTGGAGTCACCAACTGGACGTTTAACCTATAGTTATGGATCAAAATTGTTTTATGGTTGCAATTTTGGCTATACAAAAAATTTATCAGTACCGGTTTGTACTGAAGGAAAATGGGTGCCATCTCCTCTTTGTACGGGTGAGCATCAAGCAAGAATATCCATTGATTTCACGAATGTCATACTAAATTCAGTTGGCAACTGTAACTTCCCGAAAACTTCCTATAAGAATAGCACATTCTATTCTGCACATGGGAATGACACTACCTTGAACATTCTCACTCGTGTGGATTACGATGGACCAGACTGGTCTG